ACAGTCCTCAAGTTGACAAGTCATTGTTGCCCCGCTGACAACATTTTTTTTTAAATCCCAAGATAAGCCTTTCCTCGTAACAATGATGATATATCGGACAGAAAAATGAAGCATGAAAGAAGGCTCTTTATAAAGTGTAGCTTGTATATTTCCAGAGATTTTCCGTCATGGTTTTTATGGTTGTTAAATTCTTGAGAGTTTTAAATTGTTGATTCAAGTAGCGCTTTGGTAGTAACAGGGTTCATTTACACCTCTGATGGGCTATTATTGCAATTCATGGGGCAAGGCTTATACAGAAACGAGCACTATAATCAAGTTATAATCTCTTGTCATCAATCGGCATATTTAGGGGCCATTGTCAACCTCCTAAACATACTAAACATACTCAATGATAGCAAATGTACAGACAAAATCACTCCATACAATGTACATGGTCATAACAACAACTTCACAAGATGTTACTGTACCTTTTCCATTGTGCGAGAGCTTCAGGTAAAACACACCTTCCGCCCATTCTACACAGGCATGGCTATTGTTATAACTGTTTTCAGTAATGTTCGGACAACATAAAAGAGAAGCCAAAGCTATTGAGTGCCACACACAATACACTGAGGGGCAATCACTTTATGACCTTACCTGGCCTTTTTCTTTTTCCACTTTCTTGAAGCATTTATTGAGAGATAAGTTGTGTCGTACTGAGTTTTTCCACCCTGTCGGGGCGTTCTGGAAGTACGGGAAATGATCTAAAATCCACTGGTAAATGTCCTTGACTGGAAGACGTTTATTGGGAGAGTCCTCAACCGCCATGAAAATAAGGCAACTAAAAGAGAATGGTGGTTTGCTGTTGAGCTGTTGCTTGGCATCGTATGGTGCGTTTGGTGGGTGTGCCAAGTTTAAATTCCCTGACCTGTCTGAGAGACCGTTCACATCATTCTCCTTTGAGAGTGGATCGTTTTCCAAATCAGTTCCATTCATATTTTTTAACAGGTCTGAACTGTGTAACCAACTCAAACTCGTCAGTTCCTCATCGTCAATTGCACCCTTTTCCATCCTGATGGCAGCAAAGCAACTACTGCTCAAATCCATTTTCCTATCCACTTGTCCTAATGCACGCGACAACGTAGCACTCGGGAAGCTGTGACTCAATCCTTGACTAACTCGACGTAACGCAGACACGCTTCCAGGTTTTCGATTCGGAGGCATGGTTACCTCTCACCACCTATGATAGAATATGAAATTAAACAAGTGAGAAAATTCATTCTGTGCCACATTGGTGTAACACTGGTACCAGTAAAAAAAAACAATGAATGGAACCACCCACCACATAAGCTGTACATAAGCAACATAAACAAGTATTTTATATTTTTTTACACAAGGGTCATCTTTCAAAAAATGTGTAAATAAAAATTCAAATTGGACAAACAACTAAATAGCAGACAGCAAAATACAATTGCCTAACCATGTAATACAAATAAATCCACACCATGGTCGAGCAACATACTGTATCTTAAACAAAAGAGATGCGATAGTGATGGATAAGAGCTATTTTGAAATCTATCCTACCTTGTACTCAAATTCTATTGGTTGGCATGCATCCAAAATCCAAATGAGAACAAAGGTAAAAACAGTACCCAGGGCAAATGTTTGAAATTATATTAAAAATAGATAAGAGAGCAATTTTTTGAATGTAAACATCTGTGAATATTTTCCTTTTATTTTGTGTGAACAAAAAGAATGGCATGTTCAAACATGCCAAACTACTATGATGGAGAATTTTACTGCGGTTAAAAAATTAAAGACCAGTGAATTTTATTTTTACAAAAATACTCACAAAAAATACTGACAGAATGTGGACTGACAAGTAAAAAATGTAAAGCCTTAAAAGTACACATGTCAGAATGAATGTCTACGGGGTAAATACAGTGAAATGCAAATTACATGCAACCCCTATAATTTAGAGAAGTGCAGTACCATAAATAACAGGGCAAAAGTCAGAGACAGTAAAAAGATATCACGTCACGACCAAGCAACTAGGAATGAAGGAAATACTGTGGCCAACTTGCCATGTTCAAAAAAAATATACTGTAAATGTCGCAGACTGTCGAATCTGCTTTCAGACAAAACAACTTTCAAAATGTTACGAGCGTGCAAAATATCAACGACTGAGAGAGCCTGATTATCTGCAATTGTAGCATGATACATGTTCTTTATAAGGAAAACACAAATTCAATAACATCAATCGATACGTACCATACTGAGTTTCCACATACATAAGTGTGTGTCTCTATGACAACCAAGACTCTAAGAAAAATTTAGCTCCAGACTTTCAACTGAAACAGGCTTGACAATGTCTTTTTTCCTTTGAAAACCAATTGGACTTTCGTAACAAGATTGCGAGTGTTGAACAAGTCGTCTCATTATACTAATGTTTCCAACTGCATCAAACCGCAGATGCCAGCCTACTCACAAGCCTACTGGCCAACAGCTTCTGGTTGCCATGGCATCAAGTGATGTAGCATCAATGGTTGAAGCTGTTACCATAGCTACAAATCACCATATTGCCCTGCTCATGTCACAGCAATGGTGGATCATGATAACAAAAGATAAAGCACAGACTACAAAGCCAGCCAAAATGGCTACCGACCAGTAGACAAAAAAGAAGAGAAAATGGAGGTTTTTTTTTTTTTTTTTAACAGACGAGATTGTGGCGTGACAAGAAAATGAAGAAAAAAAGCTCTCAACAAACGATTGTATTTCTAGACATTTGGAACTCAATCCAGGTAGCCACAATTGGATGGGGAAGACCGACTTAAGTGCAGTCACGCATACTTGCAAGTATACAAATCAAACAAACATGCGTACTTTGGTTTCTGGTTGCACATACTAGAACAAAGGACCAGCCTAAAATCAGCACCATTTCAATGCTATGACCACAAGGTCACTAAGTCTGCTAGAGTGAACAAACTGAAAGCACCAAGCTGGACAATGTATTAGGCAGGCTTCTATGATCCAAAGAACAAAGAAAAAGTTGTCTAATGATGGATCTACAATTTAACATAAACTACACACTATCTTTTAAGAACAGATTTGCAGAATTTCGAAAAAAAATCTTACCTAAAATTATTTAAAATAAGTTATCATGGGAGAGTCATTTCACGTAAAATGTGTCACATTTGGGGGACAGACTGACATTTTGCGTTGACATCTACAACCACATCCGAGATGATTGTTTTTATTTAATTCTAACATAAAAAACCTTTTAAGCAAAAAATAAAATCATCTACCTAATTTTTTTTTCATTAGAATCATGTCAATTATTGAATTTGTTAAACCTTTTCTTGTGTCTGAGGATCTCCATAGTGACTGAAGATTGCGATTCACCGTGTTGGATTATTTCAGCTCATTACATTATCCAAACTAACATTATTATATTACCATTTGGATCCAAAGTGTGTCGGTAAATCCATACATTATTTTTTCACTCATTTCTTTCTACTTCGACAAATTCTAACCATTTTTAGATTCCACTCAGTTTTTTAAAAACCAGGCAGCCATTTTACATGTTAAACAGTTTTCTTTTCCCCCACGATACATTGCCAGAGTGCTCTGCTACCCATTTCTAATCACAAATAATGAAATTTACACAAGGGTTAAAAGAATGCGTCAAAATAAATGGGAAAATTCATTAAATATTTTAGAAAGTAGAAAATTTATGTCAAATTTGTTGACATGCATGTGGCTCCTGACATATTTTTTTTACTAGGTAATTACAGGGCCATTAAGCTCTGTAGTTATTATTATGATTCCAATTGCAAACAGGAAGCTGAGGAAATGTAATTCTCAATGAAACTATCATTGACTTGACAAACACATTCTCCTCCAACTAAACACAGTTATCAGAAATTTAATTAACCTTTATTACAACACTTTATTAGAATTCAGAAATAATCATTCTTCAAAAAACGTTAATATCCCTTTTTGTACACAATAGATTCAAATCCACAGTTGTGATCTGAACTGATAACCAGAACTACAACAAAGACATCTTTTTTAAATGATTCCACTACACAAAGGAACAAACAGTCTGTATATTGACTATTGTTATTAAGTTCAGGTGAGTTGATATTCACCGCTTTAGTATCTAACTTGATACGTTCAGAGGCCAGCGTCATCAACATACACAACGCCCCCTGCCATATTGACTCTTGGCACGTGGCATTTGTATCCCGAAATATTTTCATCCTGAAGACCTGTTTTCAAGGTAACTACTCCAACTAGTTTTCTACAGTGTTATGCATACAGGCAGCCCTAATATAGAACAATGGGAACAATCAAATTAATACTTACAAGATTGATATTTAAAAGTGGATGTAATGGTACATGTTGGCAAATATAAAACAACAACTGAACCAACTAACCTATAACTATGCAAATAGCTTTAGCTTCACTGAAGGTTAAATATTAAACATAAAAAAATAGGGGGGGGTGTCACACTTCCAATGGTCTGTGTGACAGAGCAGCTGTGCAACTCCCAGCTAATGTTGACCATACAGACCAATGTTCAACTTTTTTACATAATTACACAAACTGTTTTAAACTCTGCAACAGAAGAATGCTAGCAGACGGTCACCATGGCAACGGAAAACATCAGTTTTTATTTTTCGGAGAAACCAGGTTTTACTGTTTGCTAGTTAGGCGTTGCAAGTTACGACAACAAGCACATTTTGAATTTTTGTAATCATGATTGGTAGAAAAAAATTGAAATTAATTACATGCTGAAGAAAAGTGGAAAAACTTTATTTTTTTGCTATAAATCATGTTGAATTACTATTGCAAAAACCGTCAGGGCGATTCCCCAATGATAAAATTGTAATTACAATTAATGACATTGACTACCTACTTTAACTTCTTAACTAGTATTAGGAATGCCTACCAATCGGAGAGATAAGCTTATGTGACAAATAAGGAGGCCCTGCCAGGAGCACGGATACAGTGTGCCGATTAAGTTATGGAGAAACTCAAAATTAACATTGTGTAGAAAATAACGCACGGCCCTTGGACTTTGACCATCAGATTTTTAGTTCCGTAGCTAAGACAAGCTCCACAAAAGAACACTTCACATATCTCTATATATTCTGCAATTGTCTGTTTTTGTTTTTTAAAAAAATTTTTTTTTTTCGAGCTGATGGCAATGCTGCATTTTTAATTTCTCACTCAAGTGAATAATTTATAAGCAAAATGTATGAAACGATCAGTAAATGTTGAGATGATAAAAATAGTGACATATGACAGTGAGAATACTTCGTCACACTGCTCTGCGAGCAATCAAGAAAACATGAAAATTTCCCCATGGGTTTGACCAAATTTAATTGAATGTCACTTGAAATTTAAAAATTAAATTCACTTTTTTAGATTGCAATAAGAAAGGTTGTTTTGCTGATTGCGTATCCCAACACAGACTCACAAAATATCTAGGTGCCTGACAGTGATCAGAAGAGAAAGAAAAAAAAAAAAAAAAACATGATAGTTTTAAAGTTCGCTACTAAAAGCATTGATAGATGGCAAGATAGGAAGTAATTTCATGCCAGATACAAATTACAGTAGAATGCGTTACTTCCTGCCAAACAAAGTACCTGAAAATCCTCTAAAATAACTCAATAACATAACTACAAAAGGCACTATCAATCCATTACAATTGAAAAATACGACAAACTTGTAATTACATTACATACCTGATTTACTTTTCTCAAAAATTGTGTCATCATTTAAAGTGAAATACGTTTGAATTCAGAATGGCGGGAAATGTACATAAACATCACTGGTGGATCAGTATCACCTGAATGTGTATCTGACTACTCCTTGACTGGAGAAAACAACCTTTTTTATCCACAGTCAGTGAACAAATAAACATCAAACTGACACCAAATGCTATTACCATACGCTTAATTGCCCAGGGACACATATGTACACAAATTACCAGCATGCAGCTTTCTAATTGGGTGTTGGGCTTGGTTACGCATAGCAACTGCCAAACACACATGCTCCCACTGTGCTGTGCATGATCCGCCCTGACACTCTTTGTCCTGTATTCTATTAATATCATTATTATCAGCCCACAATTCCATACCTTCCCGGCAGAAATAATCTCGTCAAAATTAGTCTACTAAGAAACAGCAAAGAAGGAGTAAATAGACGAGGAGTTTATTGATCAGTCTTAGC